TACCCCTAGTGGTCCGTGAGTTCAGTGCAAGGGGTTCATAAAAATGTTTTATTTCCTAGGAAGTCAAATAAAATAGGGCTGGGATGTTTTGCTTTGTGAGGACCCATCTAAAAATTAAAGCAAGTTTTTTTTTTTTCCCAAAACAAAAAGTATGCTGTTCTTTGAGTTCACATTCAGCAAAGTAAAATTTATGGAGTCAATCTGTCTATAATTTTTGTTTAGTGTTTTGTTTCCAGTTCATCAAGTTCATATGTGATTATAGGGGAGTTACTAATAGGAGCTCCAGTTTTATGAAGGTAGATTTATTTAATTTTTTTTATTTATTTTGATTCCTTATTAACTTCCGTGCAACATATTTATATTGTTTTTTATATTTGAGATGAAAGGAACACAATAATAAGAATTAAATGCTCAGATTTAGTAAATGAGTCTTTATTTTATAATCATTATTGTGTGTTCCATTTTTGGGCAGTCATCAATACTTTTGACTGAGAGGGTTACTCATGGTAAGACAAAATGCCTAAAGGGGAACACAAGTCAAAAAAGGTTTGGAAACATTGCTTAAGCTATGCTATATGTGTACAAAATGGGATTCAACTCAGATCTAGAGAGGTGAAGCTAAACAAGCAAATGGAAAGTGTAGTTCTCTTAACAGCTCCTGAAATGAAATGTTCAAACATTAATGTATTCTTATTGAAATGTGAGAATGTATTCAACAAAAAAATACAATCATAAATAATATGACAAAAACATATCTGTATTAGGACATATGGGACTGGTCAACTAATGCATACGTCAATTAAAATTTCTCATTCCTTTATTCCAACAAGAAAAGGAAAACAAACATCGAATGTAAATTTATTAAACAGATTTAAATATCTCTAATTTATTTAATTTCTTTATTTTGTTTGATTCTTAGAGTTAGCGAAAAAAATGCTTTTAATAAAAATAGAATATTACATGAGACCAACAATAAAAATTACATATGTTATATTCAAGATATACCCTGAACTACTTCTTCAGCCTTTAGGTTTTGGGTTAATAAAGTATTTTGGAACAGTATCTAAATATAATTTTTTACTCTTCTAAAAACCTGTACTTTTCTGTAGGCATTACTCGGCCTGTTTTTGGTGTCATTTGCCTTCCTTTGGGAGCCTTATAAGACAGAAACAATACTATTGCCCCAGGACCTTCGAGATGCCTCTTTCTGTCAGTAAGTACCACCAAATGATTGCAGAGTATTTACCTTTACACTTCATACATTTCAGTAAATAGTTTTATTTATCTTTATTTAAGTCAGTTTTAAAAAATTTTTATAAATTAGTCTTATGTATTATGGTCAATGTTTGGTTTTACCCCATATAAATACAAAACGATTTCCTTATTCCTCTCTAATAAAGTGGCGGACTGAAAGTAGTCTATCCCGAATTGGAAATCGATCAATGCAGCGTAATTCCAAATGACCAGAAATTAAGGGAGAAACTCAGCAAAGTTTGGAAAGCTCCACAGATCTACTTCCCTAAAGCACAGAAGGTAAGAAGTGTGTGTGTTTCTCAACATGTTTAAAGAGAATCAGAGCTGTCAAATTATCCCAGAAGGCATGAAACAGTGATAAATCAAAAGTCCAAGTTAAGTACAATATTTCAAGGTACAATGCTCTATTTCAGTAAAAAAAAAATTTGCTTTGTTTGCTTGGACAAATTTGCTACTTTTTTCCTGAATGACTTTTACATCAGTGATGATCACAGAGTAGCACAATGGGGATGTTTATTCCTCATCACAGTTCTCAAGGTTCTCTGGTCCCTGGTTTCACTCCCCTATAGGAAATAGTTAAAATGCTTCTTCAACAGGGGAACTAAGTTCTAGTGCTGCCAATTACTCACTTATTACACTTATTAATACATATATCTTTTATGGCATTCATGCATTCAAAGTGTTTGAGACCACTGTCCAGGAGAAGTGATCACTCTTAGTAAGCGACTCAATGCAATCTGCTGGGTTTTACCCGTTTAAACAATAAAAAATGTTTTTGATTCTAATAAAGTTACTGATTTTTAATCTTTTTGATTGGATTGAACCGGCAAAGTATTTCAGTAAAACAATTGGATTTCTATGTATTTGTGTAAAACATGCATTAGGGCATGTTTTGTTGTTTAGATAAACTGAACTGAATTAAAAGGTTTTCTCTTGAAAAAGAAGAGTTTTAGCAAGAATGCATTTACATATTTTAACCACTAGAGTGCAGTATCGCACCAAATAACCCGTAACTTCCAGCCTAAGATTTAATGGTTACTCTCTAAATATGAAAATGCCCACAGCTACACCCTTAACTGTAAACATGAAATAATATGTGTACCTTCTTTAAAACTGCCATAAGTCTCCTTGTTTTATCAGCTAATATGATACAGACTTTTGCACTCTAATTGTTCCCTAATTATTAAACAGAGGTAACCAGAGTTGACAGAAGGTGGCACTAGTTACCCTGTTTCAAGCTTCCAATGTACACCATAAGTAATTACGTTCACTAATAGTCTACAGTGTAGAATGTCCTGTAACATAGAGTATAATGTTTGTAATTCACTATGTGATAATTTACTTGAATAGGGATTATTTTCTAACTGCAAAGCTACAGTAAAAAAAAAAAAAAAAAAATCAATCTAACTGATGCTTACTGCTGCTATTTTAATTTGGATGTGCCGACAATATGTATTGAAATTCTGCCTTTGTTTATATCTTTCCCTCTGGATATAATTTCCTCAACATGTTTTGAATGTTATGGAGTTACACATTTTTATACAAGTTGGAGGAAACCACCTGCTTTAATTAAAAAAAATAATGTGGTAAATGACGGTATTAAGATTGAGAGTGTATCATTGTTCAATATTCTACAACATATATGACATTTTAAAAAGTAATTAGTCTGCTGATTATGATTTTATAATAAAACCACTGCAAATAATCAGGATTTTGAGTCTCCTACATCTCAGGTATTTATTAAAGATACAGTTTATAAGATGTTATCGTGTCTTGAAAACTCATGTTGAAGTTTGACATCAAGATATATATATATATATATATATATATATATATATATATATATAAATTCTCTATTACTGAGTCTTCTTCAGTACCGCTGTTTGAAAGAGACTCAATTGAACAGCTAACTGAAAACATGCAGAAAATCCCACATCCCTCAAGTGAAAAACTTGAAATGAAGGCAATTACGATTTAGGAGATAGTTTTATGAATTTCCAAAGCTAAGCAGTCTGCTCAGAACATGATCTATTGCCCTTCTCATGCCCAAACTCCATTTGATCTATGGTCGTATTATCTATAAGGCTGTCTTACAAGATTCTTTTTTAGAGCCAGAAACAGTGTCAGACAGCAAAACAGATTACATGTTAGATTCAATCAATACAAACTTTATTTACTGGGCTTTGAAATGTGATTCTCCTTTTTCCCTGACACTTATGTAAAGACACTCTATCTGAAGGTTTGGGTTGTTATCGGTCTTCTTGTCCACTGTGCTCTTTGCCCGCACACCATGCTGCCAGCACTGTTGGATTCTTTCTGCCACTTAGACCTCATACCCATAAGCTGGAATCCAGAATAGTGGCCGCTTAAATCCGCCCACTGTAACACCCACTTCATTACTGGGACGGGATGCGTGCCTGCTGAGTAATTGTAATAAAACACAGTGGGCAGCAGTCCCATAAAACTGCCTCTAAATATGGACGTACAACCAAAAACAAAAGCAAAGGGTTGCAGAAGCTGCAGATCTTTGCATCCAAACTTCACAACCAATACCCACCGCAGGTACCTCTGTGTCACAAACCTGGTTTGAGCTTATATGCCTTTTTTTATAATTTAATTTCACCCAAATGGCTCAAAATTATCCACAGTTTGATGTGAGTGGGACACAAATTGGCTGATGAGAGCAAACTACATAAGAACATGGCTTGGTTACAGTTTCATAAAAAGCGGTACATTGTGTTAATCAGTGGTGGAATGAAAGAGACATGTTTGGGATTGTTGGACAGCCATAAGATAAAAGTCACATGATTTGTTTCTTTTTTTTTACTTAGCTTTATGAATTCTACCTGAAGAAAAGGTATGCATGTCAGTATAAAGATATGTTGATTACTTTTAAATAGAGACCAACCAAGCGGATTTTTAGCAGCCAATAAAAAAGGTTTTTTGAGATCTGGGCTGCAGGTTCTGATTTGGATCTTTTCTACCTTGTTTTACCATGACTATTTCTCATTAAGAGAACCCATGTACTGCTCATTCACTTATAGAGGCAGTGGTTTTACATCTAGCAAAAATGGAGGGACTTCGAGATTATCTTTTCTTCTTCTGATTTTTAGTAAAACCAGAGAACGTTTGTCAAATAATTTATTATTTGTTGGTGATTTTAGAGAGAAAATGGCACCAGTTGTTAGTTGTTACCTAATACATTTATTAAATACCTATTAAATAATAGTAAAAGGAAAAAAAACCTTTTTTCTGTTTTTGACCTGCTGTTTTCTGATAAGTACAGAAATTGTCCATTGAAATCTTGGGCTGAGTGATTCATCTCTACTCTTAGATAATACTTTTGCTTTCTATTTGTACCTTGAAATTTCTTTTCTGGTTTAGAATCCACATTTTCCTTGTTTTAAAAGGTTTTATTTTTCATTTTTCATATGTTTCTCCTTTACCCTAAACTCTGTTTTGGATTCTTAGATGCAATGGAGAAAATAGACATGAGAGTTCATCATGTAACTAGAGGCTCTTTGGAGAGCAATCAAAGTTGGCTTGTGGACAAAAACATCTTTAGAATAAAGTCGGGCTGCTGAACAAAGAGAAGGAGACATGAACGGAAAAAAAGCTCTTTATAGAAACAAATGAAAAAATAAAAAACGTTTTCATCATGTCATCCAGATGACTATAATTTAAGTTTTTATGTTTTTAAATTATCTTTAATGTGATCGGCTGGTTATGGAAATTGTTAAAGGGTTGATTTGATTTAGGTAAAATATATCCTTCATTATCATTATGAGTTTCAATCATTTGTAGAGTCCTTTAGTTGCGCATAGAACCTGATTAATTTGTTTCAGCAGTCTACCTGCAACCACTTATCTTTCCAGCTGAGAGGGAGAGATGTTCTGCATGCTTTGATGGTCATCTTTCATGTATGGAGTTTTTGTAAATGTCACCAAAGCTATTGCTGATATATTTTCCATGTCCTCCAAAATTAGAGACATTTTAGGAGATTTTCCTTCTCTTTCTTACCAAGGAGTGTAGCCAGGGGGCACATTCTTAGACATGGGGGATTTCAAAGCCTTGTTTTTGGGTAGACACTTTGTGCATCTGGTGGATGGAATGAGGGTTTAAACCTTTACTGCGATTAGAGCTGCCTCTCTATGATCTCTTGAGCTTGCTTACTGCTGTTAATAGCTGTTTCCTCTCTATTTCCTTCCATCTTTTTTTTCTTTTTCACTTTCTCTCTCTCTCCCTCTCTCCGTGAATGATTTTTATGCTTTGCTAAAACATGTGGGGGCGTTGAGAGAGGATTTAAATGCAACGATCCCCCTCCTCTTTTTTTTTTCTTCCTTTTTTTTGGTGAATCTTAGTGTTCTTCTCTGCAAGCTTTTGATGACGACAGGGCAGCTTTAAGCCTGGCAGTGCCCACGGCAGGCTGCCGTCTCAGCGCTGCCCACTCTCCTCTGTGTTGGCATGCCGGAGAACGCGAGGGTGGGGTTCCTCTCTAACAGACCCTGTCATTCCCAGGAAAGCCTACATGTCCACCCATGCAGGATTCCTGACAGGTCTTCATATTGGGGATGTTGAAGCACTCAGAAAATGATCTGACTCCTAGCAGGTGGTAGCCCCTTAATGAGTTCAGGGTCAAGAGTTTATCTCCAAAATAACATACAAGGACTAATTTCATACCTGTTTGTGGCACAATATGTCCAAGAAGTATAAATAATTTTTCATTAACGTCTATTTAATTGAATATCCATTGTCACAAAGTGGCTGTTTTTGGCTAATGGATTAAGTTGGTATGTTTGGCAGAATCGCAGGGCCTTTTTTTCTTGTCTAATATTTTGCCATTGTACATGCTGTTAAGATGTAGCCTAGTAAACTAGCCCCACTCGCCCGCGGCCAAAATAATTTTTGCCTGTGAGTTTGGTATAGCCTAGATCAATGCCCCAGGCCCTAGAACTGTCGGGCCAATCACAATGCAGAGATGTGTTTTGAATTTCTGGATGCAAAGCGGGCGGGGTTTTATGGCGTGACGACAAAGCTGCGCGACGCTGGAGAAAGCACAACAAGGAAGATGGCAACAACTATTGAACAGTTCTGGTTTGACTCAGCTTTGGAATCAGGTTTGTAGGATTAGACTTGGGGTTTTCGTTGAAACGTGAGCAGAAGAGACTCTACTCTCATTCATTTTTAAGAAGGATGTATTCCCCGTTTTACCGACCGGCTGTTTGTTTACACTTCCCCACCAGCTTTCTGTTGCGCTTCCTACGTCACAGTCAGTTGCG